ATCCGTGCCAGTCACTTGGTTCATGGGGTGAAAGTTGTCGATAACATTCTGAGAAAGGCATTCTTTAAAACATTTTTTTTTTAGTTAGAAGATCATTTTATTGGGGGCTCTGATGGCTCTTATGACAATCCATGCTTGATCAATTGTATCAAGCATATTTGTACACGTTCCCACCATTATCTTCTAGACATTTATTTTCTATTGAGCCCTTGGTATCAGCTCCTCTTTTTCCCCCTATCTCCCCTCTCCCCTTGTGACCCCTTGATAAATTATAAATTATTATTTCATATCTTATGCTGACCACTGTCTCCCTTCCCTCATGGTCTCTGTAGTTCCTTCTGGAGGGTGTGTGTGGTTATGTGTCCATCATTGCAGTGGGTTCCCCTTTCCTCCCCTCTCCCCACCTTTCCCTTCCTCTTCTAGTATGGCTACTCCCATTCCTGTTTCTGGATTCCATGTGTCCTGAGCTTCTACCTCTTATGTGTACCTGTGCACATGCTCTGGCCTAGCTCGAGGTGAAAGGCAGTACTGGTGAGGTCATGATAGTGGGGGTGGGGGTGGGGTGAGGAAGCCTCAAGGAATCAGAGGGATATTGTGTTTCATCCAGGCTTTATGGCACCCTGGTTGACTCATCCATTCCTTGTGGCCCTTCTGTGAGGGGATGTCCCACTGTCTACAGATGGGTTTTGGGTCTCTGCTCTGATCCCCCTCATTCTCAGCAGTATGTTTTTTTGTTTGTTTGCTTTGGGACTTTTGATGGAAAGGCATTCTTTTTAAAGCCTATCTAATTACAAGCATACTTAAAATTTGATATTACATTTCAGGGATTTTTTGAGTACTTTTACTATAGAACTTCCTATTTGCAGACAGCTACAAACAGCAGATTTTGTATCCCAATCCTTTCAAGTATTTAAAATTTGTGTTTATGATTTTCACTTCATGGATTGCTAAGTCAAGTCATTCAATAGATACAAAGGAAAACATTTTGTTTTGTTTCATTGTTTTGGGTATGTTTTAACAGGTGTATATTAAAAGGAGCTCTTATATGTTTTTTTATTTAGTAATGTATCATTAATAGAACAAATTCATAAAGTGATAACATTTGTGTTAACTAAATTTAGCTTGCAATTTACATCTTTTTCTCCTCAAAGTTCGTATGAGTTAGGAAAGTTCTTCCATAAAATATACCCAAACTGCATATAAGAAATTGAAAAATGTCCCAGCGCTCTAGCTCAGTACAGACGGTTATTAGTTGCACTCACTCAGGCACAACAAAATGAACACAATTGCTCTATGGTGTTCTGTTTCTACTTGTACGTGTTTATTCTCTTATGACTAGTGAAATTATACTCTGGATTGGAGTAGAAACTTCCATCCTCTCTGAAGAACCACACAGATAAAGGTGAGGGACATTTTAGAAAACATTTGAAAGTATTATAGTTTAATGTTTCTTTAGTACTTTCACACTTTATATAGTGTGAGCCATGGTGGCACTGTTGAGTAAACATTGAATTGCTAAGCACAAGGCTGTCAGTTCAAACCCTCCAGCTTCACCGTGGGCGATGATGAGACTATCTGTTCCTGGAGAGATTTCCAGCTTGGAAACCCTGTACAGGGTTGCTTTGAGTCAGAATCGACTTGATGACAGTGGATAGGTCTAGCTTAACATCAGTGGTAAGGATACGTGTTAGATCTGAAATGGATAGGCTGGGCTTATATCATTTAGGCAGCAGATACTATGTGCCTCGCTATTGCCAAGGAGCCCTGGCGGAAGCACTTGGCTGTTAACCGGAAATGGTGGTTGAAATCCATCAACCACTCCACCAGAGAAAGATTGGGGCATCTGCTTCTATAAAGAGGGACGGCCTTGGAAACCCTGTGCGGACGCCTCTCCTTTCTGCTGGCTCTCTGTGAGGACACCTAGCAACAACAGGTATTGTTGGGGTTGGATTTAGGCTAAATGATACAAACAAAAAACCATATTAAAATGGTAGTGGTGGAATTTACCTTGTAGCTGGGAATATAGCAGTAAATGAATCATTACAGGTTATAGGAAATGAACAAGGTGTTGTGGGAGCTTAGGTGGGAGCAGGGGGAGGTGATTGTGGTATGTGGGGGG